TATGACAAGCCCACAACGGGCAGCACTTGGCAGTTCTCCACAGAAATCACTTCAGGGATATGCAGGGGAGAATAAGCCGCGCGGCTGGATGCATGTGTTAATGATGATGCAATGTTCTGGCAGGAAAAAATTGGTTTTCCAGTTATATGCAGTAAATGGAACATTTTCGCAAAGACAGTACTTAAGTGACATGTTTCCCACGCAGCCAGGTGGGCTGAAAAGAGGGATAGGAAGTTAGTTTTCTTTGGCATTAGGTTCCACGCAGAATATAAACCATGGGACAAAGGAAAGATCCAACCCGCAGTGACAAAAAACCCTGAGTAAAGAACTTGTATAGCCTTTCAGCATATTTGTCTTATTACTTAAAAATGTTAAAGACTATTTGTTGCACTGATACATTAAGTGGAGTGCCGTAGTCCCTATGACATGCAGCACAGCACAGCCTAGTACAGCAGTTCCACACCCTTTGGGCCTCATACTTTCACACTTACACAGATATGAAACAGACATTCTACTGTGGAAGTCCATTGAACAGCAGTGGTGTGAACAAGGCCCCTTGGTTTCAATCCAAGCATTGTAAGGAGCATGTTTCAGTGGCTAGGCAGTTCCATCCACCAACACCCAGATTAATCCCAAACCACAGCTTTGCAGAAACTGGAAATCTGATGAAGCACAAGAAACCTCCCTGCAAGTAAGGGTGCATAATTTCCTCTGCTGTTAGATTGTTAAATGTTTTTTCCTGGGAAGGAAGCCAAGCTTTGTAAATAAAATGGGTTTACCTAAAATACACTTAACTGTTCAATGGTTATTCTACCTAGTGACACTGTCTTTTCGTAAACATTTGATTTTTATTCCAATTACAAAGCTTTCAGAAGGGCTTTTGCACAATGGAAAATATGTGTAATCTAATCACAAATCCTTTTTTTCTAACAATGTTTCTTTACTGAAATCTCACGGAGGAACTGTACATCTCCCTGTAGAGTCATATGTGGTGTGCTTGCCTCAGTAGTGGATACAGATTATGTGTATATTTACTTGGATTACCATAGTTCCCTAGAGCCAGAGGAGTAGGCTAGGACCCCATTATTTCAGGTGCCATACAAACATACACAAAAACCCAGTCCCTGTGTCAAAAACCTTATAATCTAAGTATAAGGTAAGAGACAACAGTTACACACAGGCAGATGGGAAGCACAAGGAAACAGTGATGCAGTACTGGTCAGGATAATAGGCATTGATCTCAGCATGCCAGCAGCCTATCCTAACAAACACAGTGCTTATTAGTGAGACAGCAACCTCATATTATAGAAAGGGCAGGAATATTATAGCTGCAAAGCTGTGCTGTTCATTGTTAAAGTAGCTGGCTTTATCCTTCAGACTGACCTGCAAAGATGAAGAGATCTATGAGAAATAATAGATCAGAGGCAAGAATTTTTGTGGGTGGTATCTTTTATTGGACTAAATTCATGGTTCAGCTAGATGTAGACAAGCTTTCAAATGCAATGTATTCTTTTAAAGCACTGCATTCAAAAGCTTGCCTGAGTCTGCCACAACCATGTGGTTGATCCAATAAAAGATATCACCCCCAAATATCCTATCATTTTTCATATTTCCTGGATCATGATGGCTACAACATCACATGAACGCTACCACATTTTCTTATAGAATGAGTTTGGGGCTGTTGAAGTAGGCCATTCTGCAGGCAGCCCAGCAGAGAACTGTAATGTCCATAGAAGGGAAACAGCATGGGCAGCTGCAGAAAATGCTCCCTTTGCACTCCTTCCCAATGTATCACCCTCCCTATCTGAAGGCTTCTCTACAGAGGAGCTTGCAGTTCATTTTCTGCAGCACATTCAAGACATGATCTCTTGACTTAAACTGTCACCAAGAGGAAAGAGAAAAAGATATTGATTGCAATTATAGACTTTTTTCCTTGTTACATGGGCACCTGTACATGAAGAGCTAAGTTGTGATGTACATGTCATTTTAAATAGGCCACCAAACAGCCAGCACCTGCTGCTCATGAAAGCAATAAAAATCTTTCTATGCAGAACTCTCTTTATTTACAGGAACTGCTATAGAGTCAAGTGGGAGTAGATGTCTGCCTTTGTTGTTCCATACATGACTGGTAGAGAATTCCTGGAGATGAGATCCATTTTCTTTTGTTTCTATTAAATGTCCCACATCCATATAAAACAGTCTGTCAGCAGTACTATACAATGAATCTGGTAGGTGGGATACTGAGACTCAAAAACATTCACAGAGATATGAAACCTTCAAAGAACAAATTCTATCTATTACATATTAACAGCTGTAACAAATCACTGGGATTGAGACTGAGTTTGCGGAATATGAGCTAAAAGGATAAAGAGCATTCACGTTCAGTAGGGAGGAACTCAGGTCGCCACCTATGAGGTCATCTAGGGATGTCACTACTGAGAAAGAACACGGTCATGTCTAAATGAATCTTAACATGAAAAGTTTCTCATCACGCTATGTGCAGAACAAGCATAGCGAATATTTCACTTAGCCTGTTCTAGCAAATAGCTAGACCAAAAATACAGTTCCATTTCTTTGTTTTCTTCAAGCCAGCCTTACAAATATGCACCCCTGTGAAGTTATGGTTGTTACTCCCAAATTACAAATGGGAAAGCTGAGGCACAAGGGCAAAGTCTAAGGAACTTACGGAATTTATAGCAGAACTAGAAAATAAGAAAACAATTAACTTCCTGAGCTGCATGTTAGCTGCAACACCCCCATGTAGAGGGCAGCTCTGAAAAAAAGACAATATGAAAAGCAACTGCAAAACCTCAGTACACTCTGTCAGGAATTCATGTTCTACATGGAACTGACTTGTCAGCTGCAAACATGGGAAATCTTTTTTTTCTTTTCAGACATAAAAAGGCCTGTCCTTTGAGAAAAAATTCATAAAGGAGATTCTTTCTGACAGCCGACATGACGTGTCAGCAGTGGGATTGTGGACTACAATTTGCTGATGTATGAGGCAACCAAGTTTAAATTGATATTATAGTGTGGATACAAGAGCTTTCTCAAGTCACCCTGTCATGTGGCAGAGTGCTGGGGTAGTGCATGTGCTGACTGTGATCAGGATTGAACAAAGTTGCTATGGAAATGTTTGTGCACAGTGGATTCCCTAGCTTGTATGTCATGAATCCAACAATTCAACCAAGGCCATCTTAAGGTAGGTCTCAAGCATAACCAAATGGAACACCACATGGATTCAGCTTTGTTTGCCAAGCTGCAGTAAGATACTAGGGTGATCCCCAGACTCAGCGCAGAATCCCCCCCCACCAAGACACAACTTACTGAGTGTGCATCCCGTATTGTTTAGAACCTTAATGAGAGCAAGCTTGATTGTCTGCCAGTAGCCAATCCTTCAGCTGAGTATAAAAGGAGCCATTAGAAACTTAATCACAGTTTTTGTGTCTGTAGGGGATCACTTACCTTTGGCCAAGCAAGGAGAAGTAATGGTGAGCTGGTCTCATCTGGAACTCATTCCATACAGACCTTCAATCTGCCCCTTCCACATCAATCCACTCAGGATCTTGGGCTTGTTGAGCTGGGACAGGTGTTCCTCAATGACCCCTCATAAAGGTCCTACCAAAATTATCTTACTAGAGCAGTAAGTTGGTACTGATCTCCTAGACTGGCAGTTTTTTAAGGATGTACAAGAACCTGTGAGTTGGTCTATGAATGTTTAGCATGAGAACTTAAAGAGCAGGGAGGGTTTCCTTCTTTGTGTTCTGTAAAACGAGCATGATACCAGTGTTGAAATAATCCACTGTTGCCAATAATCAGCATTAAGCAATGTAATGCCATTGAGAATTGCATACAGTGTCTTTTCCTATGGCATAAGTTGAAGTGCCTTCTGCACACAGAATGGTAATAATTGCACTTTGTCTCCTTCCAAACCAAAGTTAGAGAAACTTTTTTGACTCTTGCAGGAAAGTACAAGTTCTATCAGCTACCAATTAAAAACAAATTTGGAACAACCTTAACATTTAAAATTAGAAATGAATAGAAGATAGTGAGAGTTGTGTAATGCGGAATTCTAAGAAAAAATAAATGGTAAATTATTATATAAAGGTGAAGAAACACAATTAACATTGGAGGAAACCTGAGGACACTTTCAGATACTGAAAGGAAGAAAAGAAAAGAACAGAAGACTCCTGTGGACTTTGACTTGGGTTATTGGAGCACTCTTGGCAGAAGAGAAATATCTGTGTTCACATATATTTTAGGGGAGCGAACGCATCTTTAAATGTCAAATCTGTTATTTGATCATGTTGGATTCATTAATAAATACAGTTAAAAAAATGAACTTTGTTGGTGAGCAGGGGAAGCTCTCAGATGGGAGCATTAGCCATTTCACTTTATGCTGCTGGGTTTATATTTATCCCATTTATATCAGATCTGCAGACAGATATAAGCACAAACACACATGTAACATGTTATCTTGCCTATGTAAATCCATGCATATATGTCTGCCTTCACAAATATTCTTCTATATGGGTCTGTGCAGATCTGTAGCGTGAACAATCCAAAAGGTATGTGCCACGAACTTGTGATTCAGAATATAAGCCTCTCTTTAAAATGTTGACAATCAGTCTCATACAGACCTGGAAAAAAATGCTAACTGGAGGCAAAAGTTTCTGAGTTTTCCAGGCTGAGTTCCTGCATGTCTGTGCACAGTTGTTTCAAAACCAGCCTCCCTTCGTCATAAAAAGCTGTGCCCAGAAGGAGATTATTTCTTTCCACCAGCTTCCCTAGCAGTTTACACAAAGGGTTTTGTTTTTTCCTCTCATATTCTTTGCAGCTTTGTTCAGAATGCCTTTAAACTTATGGTAAAGAAGAGGCTGTTCAGAGCTTCACATTCCTCAGTGAGCAGTGCCTGTGCTCGCATGTAAAAGCCATTGCCTCCCCTCCAACTATTTTAATCATTTCAGAAAGGGGGGGTCATGAGGCATTTGGCAGCAGGCTCCTTTTATATAGCTGAGGTGGAGTCAGCCAATGGCCTACAAGCCTGGAAAATTTTGCAGGGCAGTTTTACTGGACAGCTTTGCAGAGCTGTGCCATTTGAATTTAAGCACACGCATATCCACACACTGTGCTCTTCATTTCTGGCTTGTCTCCCAGCACAGACAGCTTAGCGAGATTTGGGTCTCTCTCTCTCCCCTCTGCAGCGACAGTTTCTCCAGGCTCTGCTAGTTAGGACTCCCCAAGCAAATCATGGAGGACACCACTTTGCAAATTATTGAACAACCAACTGCCTCTGAGACCTCTGACGAGCAAGCAGCAGAGGAACCGATCAAATCAGACCAGATCAATGGGGTGACGGTGCTGACCCTTTTGGACAAGATCATTGGGACAGTGGATCGGATCCAGACGACCCAGGCTCAGCTGGAACAGAGACAGCAAGAGATGGATAGTGCAGTGTCCAGCATCCAAGGCGAATTGACCAAGCTCACAAAAGCACACACCACCACCAGCAACACTGTGAACAAGATGCTTGAAAAAGTGCGAAAGGTGAGTGTCAATGTGAAAACCGTCCGGCAGAACCTGGAGAAGCAAGCTGGGCAGATCAAGAAGCTGGAGGTCAATGAAGCAGAGTTGCTGAAGCGAAGGAACTTCAAAGTCATGATCTACCAGGTAAGGAGATTTCCTGCAGCTCCTTAGGCTATGTTTGTCAGTGTTTGTTTCCACTGCTAATAGTAACATAGTAATGAGGTAGAATAATGGTGTTTCCCCACTCCTGGTTCCTCTACAGAGTTCTATTACAGTGTGTCACATAGTTCATTCCAGGTTTAATATTATTGGTACGCTCATGAGACGGAAGATTTAACATAATTTATTGTGCTTAAAATGAGTGCAGGCTGGCCTTTGCAACCCGCAGCAAGTGAACAGCAGAATCTGGAACTTGCTTTTTTACTAAAGGTAAAAAAAGTGCACTGGGGACTTCATAGGGATCTTGTAAATCAGCCAGTTTAGGTGGAGAATGCCTACTGGGGATGGAGTTCTAAGAATTAGAAGGAGCATAATACTGTCTCAGGTTTACAATACGCACCTGACAATGCTAACATGGGACAATAACATTGGTGTCATGTTTAACCTCATTCTTATGGACAATAGGGCAGAAACATTAAAAAAAATGTAGCATAGTCTTTTGAGTTCATTAGCACCCCTCTTTCCAGAGCCATGGATCTGCCTTTGCCATACTGCTTGTACAAGTAAATACAATCCAGTACGTGTTACAGTTTCTTTAACCTGAGACCTGTTCGGTCCTGAGCTTTTCAGTGACTTAGTTTCAATAACAGGCGCTTTTGCTCTGCCTGAGGCTCATTTTCTGGACTAGGACCTGGATTTGCCTTTAATCTTTTAAATATTATATAAGCAAATAACTGGGGGGGGGGGAAGCAGGCCAAGGCTTCCACCCCTTTTTCCTGTATCTGTTTGGGTTTAACTTCACTTACCAGAGCTGCCCCTGAGTCACACATCTGGAGAAAGTATAATGAGTTACAGGCAGTCAGAATCACCAGGGGTTAATAACAGACTATGTCAGGAACAAACAGAGGAACATCCAGTGCAGGTCACAGGGAAAAGGGGGAAGAAAAGGAACAAAAAAGCAGAAGTACTTATTACAACCGTAGTTTGAAAGGGGATCTGGTCCTGCTACGCTGAGGAATCTGGCAAGTATCAGGACTGATATAGCTCTCTGATTCAGAGCCTAAGCATTTATAGTTATATCATGCCCGAAAGGCTGAAATACTCAAGTATATTAGGATCACGTAAGCAACCTAATACATATATCGGAAGCTCTTCATATCAGGCCTGCAGGGTAGCATAGCTCTACCTAGGGAAAAATAATGTAAACACCTAAATGCACAACAGTGGAACCGAGCATTGCGAAGTGAAGGAAATGGCAGGGAATCCTAATATTCCCTGCAAGTATTTAAATAAGCTAGAGGAAATAGATGTCTTCCAGGTGTTTTTGCAGTGTCCTGAGTATTGGTGTATTGTCCTTCTGAGAGATGCTCTTAATTGCTTGCTACTGCTCAGAAACACCGCCCTTTTATTTTCTGGCACAAAAATGTAAACTCTTAACTCCCATAGGCAGCAGTAGCAAAAAGGCCTATTGATTTTAAAAAGCAGCAGAATCAGCCCCTGAGTTTGACTTCACTGAGAAAGGACAGAGGCAAGGATTTCCTGGAGCACAATGTTCTTTTGTGGAAAATAGGATGAATTAATGGTTTGAAATGCAGAACAAATTGTTCTGTGTGCATTTTAGCATGAGACACTACAGCCTTGAGGCTGCAAGGCAGGAGAGAAAAACTCTCTGTGAAATTCTGCTGTAAATCCCTGTAAAACCATGCAATGCTCAGCCTGTCTTAACCAAGAAAGTATAAGCATAGTTACACACTCAAACACAAGCAAGGGTAAACAGGATGCAGGAGGTCACAGGGAAACTGTGCAGACTTTTGTCAAACACTGTTGAGACACATGAAGCTTCTTTTGGAGGAGAAACTCTGAACGGTCCCCTGATTTGGAGCCTGAATTGGAAAGCAAAATCTGTGGGAATCTTTGACTTTCTCAGTGGCTAAGCACCAGGCTGGGATGAACCCCAATAATATTCACCTATCAGCACAGCACATGCATCTTTCTGTATTACTCTACTGCTGTATTTGCTTTGTCAAAGACAACTGTGGTACAATGAGCTTTGTGATTCCTGTTGATAAACCATAGGGAATCCCCTGGAAAAACTGGGTATATGTTTCCAGTACACTGAAGTACTGTAGCCACTTTCCCTTGTATACAGGGGAAAATAGATTTGCAGTCAAAGGAGAACTTGCCTCAGTGATATTGTCTCTCTGGGTGCTTCTCTTGCTGCATGATGGTGAACAATTTTCAAGACAATAGCTTGAACAATTTTCAAGACAATAGCTATTATTTTTCTCATACACAACAAAAATATTTGGCTATTTAGCAGTATCATTAGTCAGTGGCTTGTACTTGCTGATAATATAATCATTTAATTTCTACCAGATAGTAAATGGAGTTGTCTGGCGCCACATATACTATTAATTGTCAGTGTTTGCATTCTATAGCGCCTCCTGATCTGTGTAGTGAGAGAGATTTTGGTATGTCTTTCTTTTTTGCTAGGCAGGACAGGTTCCCATTTGCTGAGGTTGTCCTGGCATTGGGGGCTAACATTTTTGAGCAGTTACTAACATAGAATGCATGCATGAACAATGTTGTGTATTTATGAAAACAGCAGGATACAGGGCCAGATCCTGATGTCTTCACTTGAGAAGCTCTATCAAAGTCAGTGGTTTTACCTGCTTCAGTTAAAGGAATAGGTTTGGGCCCAGCATGTGCACTAAACTGAGGAGTGCTGACCATAAGACTTTTAATAATTTCATAAAGAAGATGAATGCAGGGTGGAAAAGAAAGTACCATTTCTGTTTTTAAATCTGGAGGTACATATAACTAACTGTGGATCAAGTTCTGCCACTTTACCCATGTTGAGAAACAGTAGACTAACAAACGGTGGGTGACCAGGGCACCCGCCCTGGACTTCCACTTAGAGGGGCCAAAAGAACTGAAGCTGACATCACTGCCTGCCCAAATGCTGGATCAGCCATAGCCAACCCAGTGCCTGCCACCACCACTGTTGCCCAGGGAGCAGATCCTGGCTGTTATGCTTCCGTCGAGAAATACAATTTCTTGCAAGTAGCCCTGTTGATTCCAATAGGATCACACCTGGAATAGAGTCCTCTTCTGACTCTGTATTTAACAATTATTATATATTATTTACTAAGCAGCAAGAATGTGAGAGATGCAAATCTCATGATAATTCCTACCCTGGGGAATATACAGTTTGGACATTATACATTTTCTCTGAACTCCCTCTCTCTGGAAGAAAAACACAACAAAGGCTTACAAAATAAGCTCATTGTTCTACAGCCATTGCTTCCCAGAATGAACCATAAATGGAGAGTTATTTTAGATGTGGCCTTGATAATTTTGTTCATCTCGGGGCTGTAAACAGTTATGTTACTAACCTTTAACAGCACTTGTTTTTTAAGCTGTGATGCACTTTCCTGCTCAACTGTGATTTAAGGAGGAAAAGGTTAAGAATGAAAAGATTTATGAGTTTGCTTTTTTTCAGGGAGTGGGGCAAGTTTGCCTAAATGAAATATTAGGCAAAAAGAGGAAGGGGATATTTTCAGTGGGTCACTGAGCAAAGAGTCCGTGCTCCAGATGCATTTAATACTGCATGATTCTGTGACTTGGAGAAGTAAAAAGGAAAGGTAGAATAACAGTCACTAGGAATAGGTGATGTCTGTCTGCTAGCGTCTTTCTGAAGACATAGCAGTTGTGCAAGGAGTTACACCAGTAATACCATAAAGATCCTCCAGCTTCTAGTTGGCAAAAATAAACTAAAGAAAATAAAGCTTTTTTTGTTCTCTGATATTAGAAGGACCACGAAAATCAAAGCTGTTTCTTGCATTTGCCTTTTGGTTAGTAGAGAGGAGCATACAACATGTCCATCTTATTTATCTGAGCTGGGGGGGTGGGGAGAGCACAAGACTGAAAAGCGGGCTCACCGAGCAAGGCCTGGTGAGGATGGTCCTGGGATGGAGACTATACACAAATGCATATGTGCTCATATGTCTCACTGTTTTGAGACCAATCTGACTCCTGCTGAGGTAAGAATCTTTGACTTAAAAAGGAGTTGGATCAGCCCATAAGAGTAGCATAGAAAAGCAAAAGAGTTCCAAATTAACCAGACTGCATGTTCTGAAAATTAATCCGTGAAGTGAGAAGGTGCTTTTCTTTGCCAAACTGCTGTGTAAATACAGCTTTAATCTCCTTATCACAAAGTTCAACTTTCATTCCACAAGAGGTTTGATGGCAAGCGGTTATGTTTGTCCTTACAAGCAGCTCATATCACCAAAGCCACTTAATGCAATCACTCATGGCCTCTGCCCTGCATTCATGCTGTGTAGGGAATTAGGGAAGCTCTCGTATCAGATTTGGTGAGCTTGCTGATAAAAGCAGATGGGCCTGTACCAAATTCCCTCATTCCCAAACTCAACCCTAGTAACATGGTTATACCCTCTGTACAGGCTATAAAAATTGTAAGAAAAAAACACAGTCTGGGCCACTCATCTAAGCCATGATAGTGAGACCTTTAATGCATCTAAATTTTAGAAGAACTGTGAATACAATTCCTCCCCCCGCAACATTTTGCATCAGAAACACTCTTACAGACACAAAAGCCTGGCTTTTCTTATGGTTGAGTGTCCAGACAGATGCACATAGTACACAATATACCCTCAAAACACAGACCTTTTAAAACTCTGGCTGCTGATTTGGGGGCTAATGGCGTGTGAGATGAGCTCTTAGGAATATTATCTGGCCCATGTTGCAGTTTTACCTTCTTATGAAATTAATTGCCTTTGTCAGAATTGGGGTAGATAAGTCACTTAAGGCTTTGCAGGTACCCAAAACTGATAGGTGCAGGCCCACTCTCATCCCCATAATACTACTGCCCTCAGGCATTATTCTGGACATGGTTGCTTTGGAAAACAGAGTGGGGAATGTTCTTTGGTAATTTTGGGAAAATGCCAGGAGATACCCTCCCCCCC